ACTCCAATTGGCATTTGAGTCACCTGCTGCCCGGCTGTTCTCCGGAGAGAAACAGCTCCGTCCTGCTGCTTCGGCATCCAGCAAGAAACTCCTTCTGCCTGTGTCTCAAGGCGTACGTGTTAGTCAGTCAGAGTTGACTGATAAGCCAGAGTCAGAAAGGAAAAGGAGAGATAAGAGTTTTGCCAGCTGTAAGTGAAGGTCACTTCCCTGCTTCTGTTTTAACAGACATTATAAAGTATCTTCTCTGCTCCTTTTTGCTGGGCTGTAAAAGAAACCACTGTGAACATTTATCATGATTAATTAAACCTTCTGCTTAAATAATCACCTGAACTTGTGTCCATATAAATGTAMGATTTTCTTAAGAAAACTCAAAATTATATTACTGATGTTTCAGTAAAATAAAAACAGTGATTTATAAAAACACAGTGAAAACATGGTGATAATTTTCTGTGCTTCTATACCATTCATTACTCTTTTTAGGCACAATAATAGAATAGAAGTGATTCTATATTCTTTGTGACATGTCATTATTATGATTAACAGATGCGTAAACATTCTTAGTTAAACAATAAATGAATCATGAACAGAAAAGATTGTTTCTGTTAATATCTGATTAGCACTACAACAGTCTTAAGTTCTCTGCTGTCATCTATGAATGACTTGTTCCAAAAGTCCATTCCTCCTCAGAATGTCCTGGTTCCCCAACATTAGACGTGGGCATTGTTAATACARGCAACATCTGAGCTGACATGGCCTCATTATTTTGTCTCTCATAGTGTAACTAAGGTTTATTTATTTATTTACTTACAGTTATTTAACCAGRCAAGTCCCATTGAGATCTCAGATCTCTTTTTCAAGGGCWGCCTGGGCCTGAAGRCAACGTATTGTACATGTTTTTGGGGGTGGGGGAAACTGGAGTACCYGGAGAAAACCCACATAAAGACCCCAGGTCCAAACCAGGGATCGAGCCCAGGACCTTCTTGCTGTGAGGCGTYGGTGCTARCCTGTGAGCTGTYGTGCACTCACTCATTCAYGAACTCCGGTGGGCTGGCGCATAGGGCGACGATGAAACTAAACCAAGCATGTCTGTCTCTGGCAAATGTCTCCAGGTTCCCCCAGGTCTTGTTCTGTACTGCGGCCTCGGCCTCCAATGTTCTCCRCCTCATTGTCCTTGGTTGACCTCGCTTCCGTTTGCCTTCTGGGGTCTACCTCAGCACCGTTCTCATCAGGTTGTCGGGCTCCCTCCTCAGCACATTACTAACCAATCACCATSTTCTTCTCATGATGAATGTCAACAACTCCTCCTGTCTGAGCCATCTTCAGCAGGTCCTGATTGCTGATCTCTTCAGGCCAGAAGATCCTGCAGATTTTACGTAGGCAGGTGGTGTGGAAGGTCAAYAGTTTAGCTTMATCTCTTTGCGTCAACCTCCAGCATTCAGAACCATATAAAAGCACAGGCAGGACACAGGTTCTGTAGATCTTAACCTTGGAGCACCTGTTATACTRTTTGGATCGCCACACTGGTGTGAGCTGTGCAAAAGCGCTCCTGGCCTTAATGAGTCTTCTCTGTGTGTCTTCTCCCGCACCTCCTTCTACACACACAATGCTTCCAAGATACAGGAAGACAGGAAGGATGTTACTACATCCACTGTCTCCCCTTTTACTGTCACTCACTTGGAGGTTGGCACCACGATTCAAATCCCTGAACCACTGATATCCCTGCACCAAAGCCACATGTCCTAGTCACTGTGCCAACTCTCAACTATATATAACTTTCTCTTTTGATATTATCCTCATGTTAATAAAAGGTAATTTGTTTAAATTTATGACAGGCATTACAAGAGAGATAAGATAAGGTAAAATAAAACTTTATTGATCCCACCGTGGGGAAATTTGCACATCTATTTTTAGGTGTTAAATATTTGTCTACATGTAGCATAGCTACATGTATCAGTAAATGTTTCCTTAAAAAACACACACATAGTTCTCAAATGGATCTAATTAATTTTACTTGTGAGTGAAAGAGCTTTATTTAGACAGGATGAAGAGACATGTGAAAGAGGCTGCTCTACCTCCCCGTAGTGCCTCTCCTCAGATGGGTAGCTGACGTAAGGAGAGTAGGACAACATGTCAGGTCTGTCGATGTTATAGATCGCCTTGGTTTTTGGAAGGGCTGCCAGGTCCTTGTAGTCCAGCATCTCCTCTCCCAGTTTGGCCTAAAAACAAGAGAATATTTAGCACCCACATTCATGAGTCAAGGTGAACAATATAAACATGGATGCATTTCGTCTACAGCGCAAAATGTCCACAATGCTCCACAAACTGTGGCAGGCTTCGAAGGTGGCCTAAAAACCTTTCTTTTTACAGTGTTTTTCTATTTAGCATTTTTACTGAATTCTTATTAGTTAATGTGCTTTGCTTTCTGCTGTGGATTACCTTGCCCCCTCATCTTATGGCTCCACAGACTGTGGCAGGCTTCAAAACAGGCCTGGAAACCTTCTTTTTATTTAGTGTTCTTATTGATTTTCTTTAATTAATGTGTTTTTATTTTAAACTTTTTAACATGAAAAGTGTATTTCATTCTATTTGTATTGTTGCTATTGTATTTGATTGTAGCACTTTGGGATTTTTTTTTCTAAAATGTAAAGTGCGTTATAAATAAAATTCATTATTATTATTATTATTATTAAAATGTTGGGTGGAGTTGGGTCAGTCTTACATAGATGACTCTGTTAGGAGAGCCGGAGGCACTGGAAGCTGGCACTGAAGTGATGCTTTCAGAGGAAGTCCGGGTCACCTGGAACACACAACAAACATAGTTACACACACACACACACTGCAGATGTTCTATCAGTGAAGCTCAGCTGGTTGTGGACAGCTGTTGTTAGAGCACACTCTGAGTTTGCAGTRTCATCATATCCATACTCCACACAAAGACAAACAAAAAGTCCTGCTCTCTCTTCTCGGTGTTCAGGCTGTTTGTTCAGTAGATATTAATAGTCCTTTCTTGCTTATTAATCTGTCTACTGATTTATCAGAGCCATCAACAGGACATCAGTCAGYGGTCTACAGCAGAAACCATCGGACACATGTCAGCCCACAGAACACAAATGAGAACATGTGGCTCAGTTAGAATCAACCCATGCAGAAGAGGGACATTCAGGAACACCGACCTGGTGCTCAGGAACATTGCTGAGCTGTATCCGGACCTGCTTCTGAACAGAGAGGAGTGACGATTATGAACGCATTGACGAGATGAAGGAAGGGCATATGGGTTGTAATAACAATAGTAACACTTCTACTACATGTACACTGAACAGTCTGAATTGAATTTGTTTTCTAGAAATCTAATCTTGGTCTGGTCACCCGTCATCACAGTAACACAAAGWGACAAAAAATAAACAATTATTCTCACATTCACTCATAACTATTCATAATTTAGAACAGTTTATAAACCTGACATGCATGAATTTATATCTCTAAGTTTATGATTAATTGGTGGTTACATTAACTTTCTGTATAATATGAATTCTATCTGATTATTTTAAACAAATCAATGATAAATCTAATAAAATAATAATTAGAAATATAATAAAGAGGAATTAGTCTTACTTTTGTAGACACTCAAAGATGCTTTACAATTTTCATGTATTATTCAGTCATACACACATTCACACACTGATGGTGGTAAGCTATAATTGTAGCCACAGCTGTCCTGGGGCACACTGACAGAGGTGGGGCTGCCATGCTGCAGTTCCACCRGACCCTTTGACCACCATCATCAGACAAGGTGGGTGAAGTGTCTTCCCCAAGGACACAAGGACAAAGACAGATTCAAAAGTCATTATTATTCCTTCCCTCCACAGAATCGCCACCTTAATGTGGTGGAGGAGCCACTTTTTTCAGGTTCTGGCAGTTGACCAATGACCCGGCCCACTCSGTCTAGGACACACAGCCAATGTTCCTTCCTGGACTGTTTGGGTAAAAACGGAATCTTTAAGTTCAATTTTGACCCACCTTACTTTTCTCCTCCTGCTTAGCTGCTTGTCTGCATGGAGGATGCCAAATGGACGATCCTGAAGACCCAAAGAGACAAAGACAGAACCTGTGACACCTTGAAAGTCAGAAAAAAGCCAAGTATTTTCCAGACAATCCTGTGATGTTCGTGACTCGCTATGTCAACAGATTCTTAGCTAATGTCAGTGAGCTAATGCTATTTTTGAATTTACTTGAACATGGTTCAGTCCTTTAGTGCAGTGGTTCCCAACTCTGGTCCTCAAGAGCCCATATCCAGCATGTTTTACTTGTTTCCCTGCTATTCAGCAGGTCTTCAGAAGATTGTTAATCMCTCATTCATTCAAACCAGGTGTGTCAAATCAGGGAAACATCTRAAYATGCAGGAAAGGAGTCCTTGGCTGTGTCCAACGCTGGACCGGGTCCTCTGAAGGCCGAATTCGTCGGCCGCATAMGTCACAGCGCTGCGACAAAGRCCRTCCAAAACCGAAGACTCCTCTGATGCGGCMGACAAATGCGTCCTTCCTTTGCCCTGAATTGAAGGACTGGTCCGATAGATCCTTCCCGGCCCAGCATTTCCCATAATGCATTGCGGCCCGACTGGAGTTTTTTTTATGCTAGTAATGGCGGACGAAGCGAGAGAAAAGAATACGTTTTAAATAAAAATATGGCGATATAAAAAGGACCAGGGTTGAGAATCACTGCATTAACTTGTGTTATYTGATTTATTATTTACAAATAAATGGCAAACATTCAATGGCTTCGAGAGGCAACACTAAAAAACCTAAAACTGTCAATATTACATTTTGAAAATGTCTCATCAATCTCAGAGAAGCTCTTGAGGTGTTGGTCAACATTTAAAGCAGCGATTTTTAGATGTTTCCCTGATTTGACACACMTGGTTTGAAWGACTGAGTCATTAACAATCTTCTGAAGACCTGCTGAATAGCAGRGAAACACGTAAAACATGCTGGATAGGGGWMMTTGACGACCAGGGTTGGGAACCACTGCTTTAGTCATTTGGTTGATGCTTATGGTTTAGGTTGGACCCAGAAGTTGACATTTTCAAGTTCCACATTAAAAAAACAACTAGAACACCTCCTGAAGTTAAAAATCTGATTTGGAAAGTYACACATGATTCCTGAACAACCTCACCTCACAATTCAATATGGCTGTCTTCATGTCAAAACCTGCAGTTTCCAACTCTTAGTTTGTACTTTCCCCACAGTACTGTAGTACTTACATTAGGAAACATGTTGCTACAGACACACTGTTCCTGACTTGTTCAGAAGACCGTAGGGTTTTTTTTCTCAAAGAAGTTTTGTAAAAAGAAAATATTAACTTAAAACATAAAACAAGATTTTAATATTTAACAACAAGCTTTTAGCATATGTTTTTGTGTACAAAGATACTGGAAGTATGTGYATTAATATATTACACTGAATTAGCAGTGGGTCTTTAGCAGAAAAATATATAAATAAAAACTAGCAAAAAAGGTACACATTAGTAGAAATGATGRCAATAAAGAAAAATGGCACTCACCTTGCAGATACATTTCCTCTCCTTCTGCAAACATCTGCTCACAGCGGGCACACCGGGCACATGAGGGGTGGTAATGCTTCTCTCCAGCCTGTTGAAAACAAAAGGTATTTTTAGGGATTTCTAAAAAAAAAAAAACAATCAAGTGTGTTAGGATCTCAAATTATAACAATTGCCGCGCTAATATTTATATGGAGAATACATGGCATTAGCTCCAGAGCAACAAAAATAAATAAATAAAT